TGGGTGTCTTTTGTAGTAGTTTTTAAATAAATGCCACATAGCAATGTAATGAATGACAATGCATGCACACACATACACACACACTTTTGTCAATACTAGTGCTAAAAAGTGACTTAAAATGATTTTCTTTTCATTCTGTCCACTACATTGGACAAAAGAGTAGGTGTGTGTGTTAAGTGTTCAGTTAGTTTCAGGTTTCAACAAAACCCAGAAAATTAAATCTGTGATCAAGGTTCAAATTCTGGTTAAAGTAGTTTGTGGTTCATTTCAATTAGTCTGTTATCTTTGGTGAAAGGCATGAATCCACAGTTCCCCAACCAGTCAGATCAGGGATTACTCAGTGCTTCTCATATCGTATATACAACCCAATTGTACAACCTGTAATATCCTTGGAGAGGTGATGGGTGCTGCCAAGTCATTCCCATTTTCCTAAGAAATACCATGAAGGAGTCAGCAGGAACATTCCCCACCCCAAAGGATAGTCCGCAAAGTCACATGATGTGTGTTTTTTTTTTGTTTTTTTTTTTCAAAGCAGCAGAATTAAATGGGATTGTATCACTAAATTTGAAGGTCCATTGTCCAGTAAGGAAGAGACAAAAATGCAATGGTGGGAGGAGCAGATGGGAAACACAAGAGTCTCTCTAGGTTTGGTTTGCTTATCATGGCATATCAACACCTCAATGGGTTATTTAATGCCGACAAAGTTTTTTATTGCTGATAATATTTATTTTTCAAAAATGTATTACTGGTAATAATTTTTTTTACAAAAAAGTATTTCTGGTATTAAAACATAGTTTTACACTTTCATAGTGTTTTGACTCCAATTTAGGCATTAACTATTTGCCCATAGCTGGGACCCTAACGGGCTACCACCCCAGGTCAGGGTGGGCCTGGGAACACCAGCAATTAAGAGGTGGTTCCACGCTCCTCAAAACCTCCTGATCAGAGGCCTTGCTGCTGGATGTAGTTTATCGTCTTACCCAGGAAAATGTGGTGAGAGGACAATATACAAGGTTATTTAAATTTTAAATGTTTTTTTGGGGGGGGGGTTTACCAACCTCTATTCAATACACAAGGGCTTTTGATTATCGATCTATTGTCAGTGATTTAATAATTCGAAAATAACAGTATGAGAAAATTTGAGGGTAGGGGATAGAAAAAAATGAAAGGAGACCCCAAAATAAATAATAAGGACTTATTAAAGAAATCCTTTACATTCCTTTTCACTTTCACTCTTTAGTAAACAGGAAAGCCCATCAGGCACAGGAGAAGAAAATCTAGCACTGTCCAATGAAATGGTTCAAAACGATTTTTTTAAAAATTTAAAAATGAAAAGATAAATAAAAATATGAAAGAGTTGAGGAAAGAAAAAGAAAAGAGAAATGGTAGATTGGGTGGTTGTTTTGTTTTATGGCATATCAAAACCTCAGTGGGTCATTTAATGCCAACAGAATTTTTTAAATAGATTCATAGCAATAGTTTGTTAAAAAAGGTGTGTACATATACATATATATTTGAACCATTTTTCAATTACTCATATTTTTTAGTACAATCCAACTTCTTTTAGGAAATTTACTATCTTGGATGGTTTTATTTTTGTAAAAAGTTTTTTTAAATGACTCAAATGGTTTAGTTTGTTTTACATTTAATCTTGTAACATGGCACATGGAATTCAACAATAAAAATAATTTCTTTTACAAATTGAAGTTAAAGAAAATATTTTTTGTTCAGACATTTGACTTAACTTTAAAACTCGTAATAAAGAAAACTCTTCCCTAATGTCTCGCAGGCTTATATTTTGAAAGTATCTTGCATTTTTATGTCGCAAGCAGAAGTACACAACCCTTATAGGGTTTCTGAATATCTAAAATAAATACAATCATACAAGTTCAATATACTTTGTATTGATTGTTTTAAAAAGACATCGACTGTTAGAAATGTTGTCTACAAACAAGTCAAAAAATGGTTGCAATTTCATCAGCATCATTTATTCAGTTAGCACATTTTGCACTGCTGCGGTCATCAATACCCTCCCCAACTTGTGGTTCATGGCGACATTCAAGACAAAATAGTCTAATGGCAATGCTAGTTCCTAGAACTGAGGATGTCGAGGCTAACTTGTTCAACCTCTCAGAAGTTCCTCCACCTACTGGTGAAGCTGTTGACTTCCAAGGTGCAGCGCTTACGTCCAGCAATTGGCTGATAGCATAGGTGGTTTGGTTTGGTTTGGTTTGGTTTGTTTTGTTTTACGGCATATCAACCTCATTGGGTTATTTAATGCAGACAAAATTTTTATTGCTGGTAATATGTTTTTCTTCAAAAATTTATTTCTGGGAATATTTTTCCTTGAAGAAATCTATAGCTGGTCATATTTTTTTCAAAGAATGTATAACTGTTTGTATTGCTGGTATTTTTTGTTTTTAAAGTATTGCTGATAATAATTTTTCCTTCAAAAATTATTGCTGGTAATTTTTTTATTTTTTTTATTACAAAGTATTTCTGGTATTAAAACTTATCTTTTTTACACAAGTTTGGGTGTCAACTATTTGCCCATAGCCGAGACCTTAACAGGTGCTACCACCCTGGGTCAGAGTAGACCTGGGAATGCCAGCAATTAAGAGGTGGTTCCACGCTCCTCAAAACCTCCTGATCAGAGGCCTTGCCATTGAACGTAGTTTATCGTCTTACCCAGGGCGCGGATGTAGTTTATCGTCTTACCCAGGATGCAGATGTAGTTTATCGTCATACCCAATACAGGATGGCACAGGTGGGTTGGAGAGAGGTATTCCTCTTCACCAGTTGGGAAACCCTTCAGAATACCCTCACACAGTTTAGATGGTAGGTCAATGCCATTGACCGAGTTGTGGCTGTCGCAATGCCCATGCAACTTCACGTGACATTTGGATGTAAGCCGTGGTCTAGAATGGTCTTTATCAAAATTCACCTAAGTAAAACAAGTCAACCACTTTGGTATAAAGATACTACTACTGACAATGCACACAAATTTCAATTTACCTTTATAAAAACTCACAAAAATTTCTTTATTTTTACTATTTTTAAAAATTTTCTCCAAATCCTTTTTTCTCCTCAAAATACCAGACACATTTATCCCATAAATATGTGAATTATTTCTAATTACAAATTCTCTTCGATGTTCGCTAAATCATCTATATGAATAAATATGAAATTAGAGCTCAATTCTTCAACAAATTCTGAGGTTAAAAGGTCCCAACTTCTCTACTGAGAGATGATAAATAAACATGTGAACTCTATAGTAATTTGGTATTAACTCTCTTACTACACCCACCATAATACCTCATTGTCTCAATGAAAAAACCTAAATAGTCCCCATATGTACAAATCATCGTATGTAGAGGGGGGAATAAAACAACAAATTAAAAAGATCCCCAATGAGTAATTTACTCGGTGTTTACTCATGCTTTACATTGTGCTGGCTTCAATGCGAGCACCAATCCCTCCCTCTGGCGTAATGGGAGGGCTTGGCCTCAGGCAGCTGTCACCCAGCGCTGGGCACTTCTCAGTATAATTTTCTCAGTTGCCCCTCTGTCCTTTGACAGAGAAGCACTCTGCCCAAAGACAGAGATGCAACTGAGAGATGATAAGCCATGCAAATTTACTCACTAAAAGCTCAATATCTGATATATATTATCTATTCTAGGCGATATCACTTTTCAGGTTTAACTGATTTGCATACTGATTTTGAAAAAGTATATTTCATTAATTAACTGTCCTTTATTACTATTCTTCATTCAAGGATTGTTTTGATTTTCATATCAAAAATAGTTCTGTTGAGGAATATTGTCTTATATAGTGCAGCAAAGTGTTTGAATATCTGTGTATATTTCTGAGATGAGGTATTATTTACACTATTTACATTATTTGGACTATTGCCCTCATCTTTGTCGCCATATTTATTACAACGTTTCGGCTGTTGTACGCTCCGGCCTTCTTAATGTGGTTGGAATATCGAACCGAACCCTTTATTTCGCTCACTGGGGTAGGCTGTTCTAGTTTCGCATGCCATGTTTAATGGATGTCAGTTCTCAGTTATCTCCTGTTAATTCCTCTTTCCAAGTTCTCCACTGTCTTAACCGGGTATTGAACTCACACTCTTTGAGTCCTCTCACTGGATCTAACCAACGCCTTTATCCACTGTGCCATGTGTCCTTGAGAACAGGGTTAGTGTTTGAAATTTGTATTTTACTTGGTATCACTTTGTAAATATTTCCTTAACTATAATAATAGCTCCCACACCTGACCATTTAATACAGTCATATTCTTTGAAGAAATATATTGAACGTCCACAACCCCTTTAACATTTCATAAATAGTGAACATTAATCTCATAGAAAAACAACTAATTTTTCCTAGAAAAATTACCAGATAGTGAGCGGGCGAAGTCTGCTAGTTTATTCATATTTTTACTTTTTCTAACAGCATCAGTTCAGAAATAAATTCAGATTATTTCGATCAGAAGTTGAATTCTACATTCTGATTCCATTTTCAGTACAGCTAATGGGTCGGCCACCAGCACTTCCCATGATATTTTTTTTTCTTTTTTTTAAAGAAATATTTACATAGATGCCTACAATTAGGGTGTATCCAATTTGGTCTCTTTTCTATTTGGCAACTTTAGTCCTTAACCTCTGACATTCAGTAATAATCACAAAGGTCATTGACACCTCCCCCCAAATTTATACCCTGTTATACAATCATTTTCAAGCTTACCCACATCCCGGGTGTGGCAGCATACGAGAAAACAGTTGATAGATTAGAAAGGAGTATAAAATCTAGAATATTCCTCTCGTAGCTATTTTAGATATAATCAGATATTGCAAATACAGAATTTTGGGAGTGACAAATTATTATTTACATTTCGACTAATTATTATCACATAGTACCCACCAGGTTTCTTCAGATGTCATGTCAAACCAGGTATCTTTCAGGGAATTTAAAAACTGAAACCTTCATTTAATCTACAGGATATGGAAAGAGAAAGTGATAGAAAGAAAGAGAAAATTGAACATCAAGAAGAATGAATGAATGAAATAAAAAAAAGAAAGACTAAAATATAAAAAAAAAAAATATAAAAAAGTGTGTGTGTGTGTGTGTGTGTGAGAGAGAGAGAGAGAGAGAGTTTGAGAGAGAGAGAGAGTTTGGTTTATTTTGTTTTAGATATCAATTCTCAATGAGTTATTTAATGCCGACAACATTTTTAGGATAGATTCGAATAGAATATGTATTCTTTGATTTAGATTGGTTTGGTTTATTTTGTTTTACGGCATATCAACCAAATGGGTTATTTAATGCCGACAACATTTTAGGATAGATTCGTATGAATAGAATATGTATTCTTTTTGATTTAGATTGGTTTGGTTTATTTTTTGTTTTACGGCATATCAACCTCAATGGGTTATTTAATGCTGACAACATTTTTAGGATAGATTCGTATGAATAGAATTTTTTGATTTAGATTGGTTTGGTTTATTTTGTTTTAGTATATCAACCTGAATGGAATTTAATGTATTTTTTGATTTATGAATTGAATATGTTTCTTTGTTTATTTTTGTTTTATTTGTTTTACGGCATATCAACCTCAATGGGTTATTTAATGCTGACAACATTTTTAGGATAGATTCGTATGAATAGAATATGTATTCTTTGATTTAGATTGGTTTGGTTTATTTTGTTTTACGGCATATCAACCTGAATGGGTTATTTAATGCTGACAACATTTTTAGGATAGATTCGTATGAATAGAATATGTATTCTTTGATTTAGATTGGTTTGGTTTATTTTGTTTTACGGCATATCAACCTGAATGGGTTATTTAATGCTGACAACATTTTTAGGATAGATTCATTATGAATAGAATATGTATTCTTTGTTTTAGATTGGTTTGGTTTATTTTGTTTTACGGCATATCAACCTCAATGGGTTATTTAATGCCAACAACATTTTTTAGGATAGATTCGTATGAATAGAATATGTATTCTTTGGTTTTAGATTGGTTTGGTTTATTTTGTTTTACGGCATATCAACCTGAATGGGTTATTTAATGCTGACAACATTTTTAGGATAGATTCGTATGAATAGAATATGTATTCTTTGGTTTAGATTGGTTTTGGTTTATTTTGTTTACGGCATATCAACCTCAATGGGTTATTTAATGCTGACAACATTTTTAGGATAGATTCGTATGAATAGAATATGTATTCTTTGTTTTAGATTGGTTTGGTTTATTTTGTTTTACGGCATATCAACCTGAATGGGTTATTTAATGCCAACAACATTTTTAGGATAGATTCATATGAATAGAATATGTATTCTTTGGTTCAGATTGGTTTGGTTTATTTTGTTTTACGGCATATCAACCTCAATGGGTTATTTAATGCCGACAACATTTTTAGGATAGATTCGTATGAATAGAATATGTATTCTTTGATTTAGATTGGTTTGGTTTATTTTGTTTTACGGCATATCAACCTGAATGGGTTATTTAATGACGACAACATTTTTAGGATAGATTCGTATGAATAGAATATGTATTCTTTGGTTTAGATTGGTTTGGTTTATTTTGTTTTTACGGCATATCCACCTCAATGGGTTATTTAATGCCGACAACATTTTTAGGATAGATTCGTATGAATAGAATATGTATTCTTTGGTTTAGATTGGTTTTGTTTATTTTGTTTTACGGCATATCAACCTCAATGAGTTATTTAATGCCAACAATTTTTATTGCTGGTAATATTTTTTTTTACCAAAAAATGTATTGCTGGTAATATTTTTTTCCTCAAAAATCTATTTCTGGGAATATTTTTTCTTCAAAAATCTATTGCTGGCAATATTTTTTTTCAAAAAAATATATATCTGTTTGTATTACTGTAATATCTTTTTTTTAAAGTATTGCCAATAATAATTTTTTTTTTTCATAACGTCTTTCTGGTATTAAAATCTATTTTTACACTTTCATAGTATTTTGACTCCAATTTGGAGGTTAACTATTTGCCCATAGCTGGGACCCTAACATGTGCTACTACCCCAGGTCAGGGTGGACATGGGAACAACAGCAATTAAAAGGTGGTTTCACACTCCTCAAAACCTCCTGATCAGAGGCCTTGCTGTTGGACGTAGTTTATCGTCTTACACAGGATGTGGATGTAGTTTATCGTCATACTCAGTACGAGAGAGAGAGTGGTATGTTGAAACAACTCAGTGCGGTTGATAGAGTAAAGGGAATTAATCAGAAAAAGAGAATGATAGAGAGAGAGATGAAGAAAGGGGAAACAATCCAGTGTATGTGTGTAAAAGTGAGAGAGAGAGAGAGGAAGAGAGAGAGAGAGAGCAATTGAAAAAGAAAACAAAATGGAGAAAGAAAGAAAGGATAATGAGAGAGAGAGAGAGAGCAATTGAAAAAGAAAACAAAATGGAAAAAGAAAGAAAGGATAATGAGAGAGAGAGAGAGCAATTGAAAAAGAAAACAAAATGGAAAAAGAAAGGATAATGAGAGAGAGAGAGAGAGAGAGAGAGCAATTGAAAAAGAAAACAAAATGGAAAAAAAGAAAGGATAATGAGAGAGAGAGAGCAATTGAAAAAAAAACAAAATGGAGAAAGAAAGGATAATGAGAGAGAGAGAGAGCAATTGAAAAGAAAACAAAATGGAGAAAGAAAGGATAATGAGAGAGAAAATTGAAAAGAAAACAAAATGGAGAAAGAAAGGATAATGAGAGAGAGAGAGAGAGAGAGAGAGAGAGCAATTGAAAAAGAAAACAAAATGGAGAAAGAAAGGATAATGAGAGAGAGAGAGAGAGCAATTGAAAAAGAAAACAAAATGGAGAAAGAAAGGATAATGAGAGAGAGAGAGCAATTGAAAAAGAAAACAAAATGGAGAAAGAAAGGATAATGAGAGAGAGAGAGAGAGCAATTGAAAAAGAAAACAAAATGGAGAAAGAAAGGATAATGAGAGAGAGAGAAAAAAAAAAAACAAAAAAAAAAAGGAAAATGAGAGAGAGAAAGAGCAATTGAAAAAGAAAAACAAAATGGAGAAAGAAGGATAATGAGAGAGAGAGAGAGAAAATTGAAAAGAAAACAAAATGGAGAAAGAAAGGATAATGAGAGAGAGAGAGAGCAATTGAAAAAGAAAACAAAATGGAGAAAGAAAGAAAGGATAATGAGAGAGAGAGAGAGCAATTGAAAAAGAAAACAAAATGGAGAAAGAAAGAAAGGATAATGAGAGAGAGAGCAATTGAAAAAGAAAACAAAATGGAGAAAGAAAGAAAGGATAATGAGAGAGAGAGAAAGAAAGGGCGTAAACTATCAATGAATCAAGTAGATGAGGAAAAATGTGTGGGAGGTTTTGCATCAAGAGAAGGAAGTATCAGAAATTGTGGGATTCAGGATTGAGATAAGTAAGAACAGGGGGGATCAAATTAGGGAGAACCAGAGGGGGGGGGTCCTGGATGAAGATAAGGAAGAACGGGTTGGGGGCAGTATCTAAAGATGGTAAAAATAGAGGGGATCCTGAATGAAGAACCAAAGCAGGGGGCAGGATCAAGAGAAGCCAAGATCAAAGGTGGATTCTGGATCAAGACAAATGAGAGGTGGATACTGGATTAAGATAATGAAGGAGAGGCTCTGGATCAATAGAAGGGAGAACGAGAGGTTCTGAATCAAAGGATAAATCCAGAACTGATGAATAATGATTATTGACATTGAAAGACACCTCAAAAGAATCTCCACCTAAGAGAAGGAAAGAAGAAATTAGATTTTAGATATCGTGCCAGATAATTCATTTATTAGTAAATGTTCATTGATTAGTCCTTAGCGTTGTTTTATTTAAGAATGATAGTGTCAAAATACCATTGATTAACAAACTCTTCTACCACTAATCATGATCACCCCGAGCATAAAAGATGATGCTGTAAGTTAGTGGGGGGTTGGAGGGAGATGAGCCGAGCAGTCAAGAATGCCAGCGGTTAGTCAGGACAGAAACAATGTCACAACCGTAAGAAGATCAGCACCGTTCGATATTTGTCGCAGAAGGAATTCCTGGTATTTGGCCCAATATTTTTATCGCTCTTCTTTCCAAAATTAAATGCTTATAAAGGGTATAAACGGAGGGATGTAGAATTTGGTTGGTATTCAAGAGCCGCATTCATTTTTCCTATATTTTCTTTCTTCGACTCAGTTCATATCTTGTTCGATTCGTTTTTTCTAAGGTCTTCATATTGACATTTACTAGTTTTGCTTTTATCGGAAATGGATAGATTAGAACAGGGGGAGGGGAATAAACAGAAGAAGATTTCTCTTATGTCAGTCTTTTTGAACCTTAACCTCTGCAACAAACTACATTGAAAGATTCGATATTTTTATCCGGTTACTTAACAATCTTTCCATCATACATTAAATAGAAATTAACCTCATCAACTACAATGAACATTGTTTTCATGCCTTTTTGATTAGATGTAATTAATGCTGTAATTTTTATAAATAAATAAATGAGGTTTTATAACTGAACAGACATAATGATACATTTTGTCAGTAATGCTAGCATTAATTCCAGATCACTTAGTAATTTCTTTTACAAAAAATGTATTGCTAGTAATTTTTTTTTTTTTAAATCTATTGCCGGTAATTTTTTTTTTTTTTTTTTTTGAATCTATTTCTGTCATTTTTTGTTTTAAATCTATTGCTGGTAATCTTTTTTTTTTAAAATTTATTGCTGGTTAATTTTTTTTTTTTTTCAAATGTTTTGCTAGAAATTTTTTTTTCAAATGTTTTGCTAGAAATTTTTTTTTTTTTTTTTCAAATGTTTTGCTAAAATTTTTTTTTTTTTTTTTTTCAAATGTTTTGCTATAAATTTTTTTTTTTTTTCAAATGTTTTTGCTAGAAATTTTTTTTTTTTTTTTTTTTCAAATGTTTTGCTAGAAATTTTTTTTTTTTTTTTCAAATGTTTTGCTATTTTTTTTTTTTTTTCAAATGTTTTGTAAAATTTTTTTTTTTTAAATCTATTACTGGTAATTTTTTTTTTTTTTAATCTATTGCTGGTAATTTTTTTTTTTTTCTTAAATCTATTGCTGGTAAAATTTTTTTTTTTTAAATCTATTGCTGGGAATTTTTTTTTTTTTCAAATGTTTTGCTAGAAATTTTTTTTTTTTAAATCTATTGCTAGTAATTTTTTTTTTTTTTTAAAATCTATTGCTGGTAATTTTTTTTTTAAATGTATTGTTGGTAATATTTTTCAAAAATGTATTGCTGGTAATTATTTTTTTTCTTTTTTTTCGAAAATGTATAACTGGTAATTTTTTTTAATTATGAAACTGTATTGTTGGTATTTTTACTATAAAAATATATTTTTATACTTTCATAGTGTTTTAACCTCAGTTTGGGGGTTAACTATTTGCCTATATCTGGGACCCTAACAGGTGCTACCACCCTGAGTCAGAGTGGACCTGGGAACAATAGCAATTAAGTGGTGGTTCCATGCTCCTCAAAACCTCCCAGTCAGAGGCCTTGCTGCTGGACGTAGTTTATCATCATACCCAAGATGTACTTATTATGTGAAGCAAACAAAGATAGACAGACAGTCCAAACAGAAGTTTAAGAGCTGCCACTAATCAGGATAGATAATTAGACAGTAGTCTGAGAGGGTGGTTAACAGACATAAGCAGATTGTGATGAGTATGATTCAGAGCAGCATTTGAGTCTGCCGATAAATATACATTGAAAAAAAGATCTTTTATTTACATAAATTATGTAAGTGAATCCTGTATAAGGCCTATCAGCTGATTAGTGGATTATCTTGCCTTATACTAATCTCATTGGTAAAGCCCTGGCACTTAATCAGCAAAAGAAATCCACTAAATCTTCATTAATGAAAGCAAAAGGTGTTTTTTTTTTGTTTTTTTTGGAGGTGGGGGTTAAAGGTGGGATAATCAATGTTGGAGATAATTTGAAGTTTGAAGAAATATCTGAACTAACATAAAAAAAAGTATAACAATCTCCCTCGTCCTCATTGCTATTAAGACCCCCCCCCTTTGAAATACTGAGCCACAACATCACTATGCCAAGTCTTACAGCCACATCATGTTGAAACATTGGTTACCATAGGATCACCGAAGTTAAACAACATTGAGCCTGGTCATTACCTAGATGAGTGACTACATGTGAATAGCAAGTGCTGTAAGCTTTGATGTGTAGGTGGTGTAATGGATAATGGCTCAGGATTGTTAATTGGAGAGCAGAGTTCAAATTCCAGTTGGGTTTATTATATTCACTTATGTGCAAATACTCTTCATAAAGACATGAATCCACCACTTCTCCTCTTTGCTATGGGCTAATCAGTAAGACTTGTATTGCTAAATCATTCTTACAATCTAAAAATATATTGTGGGAACCTCTCACTTTCCATTTATGAAAGAGTAGTTCCTCAAGTTCATTTTGAACTTATACACTTTGGAAAAGGCATGAATCTACTTCTCCTTGCAATCTGTCCTTATACAGGATAACTTGACAAATGACTTCTTACTGTTTGTCACAAATGGGGGTGAGTACTTGAGAAAGTTACATTCCCATAAATATCCAACATATCAAGGCAACTGTAGCAAAAAAGATTACAGTTAAATTTGTGTACAAATATATATATCACGAAGATTGATATAGCAATTAATATACATTTAAATTATCTTCCCTAGGTTTCTAAACAATCACTAGGTCTAATATCCTCATCTTTGTTGTTGTTATCACAACATTTTCACTGTTGTGTTCTCAATGTTTCTTCTTGTGTCAATTTGGGCAATTTGGGGAATGGTGAATTGAACCTTTCATGTAATCTACAGACTTTTCTAATTCCACTGTCCATGTCTAGGGATATCTTGCCTTGTTCTCTTTTTAGTACTATTCAGTTATTAGGAGTGCCCTTTGCCATTTCCATGAGGCAATAATAATCTCTATCTATAAAAGGCAGGATGTGTGTGTGTGTGTGACGAATGCACGGCCGCAATTTTCAACGGATTTGCACCAAAATTTACATGCTTATGCTCCAAGTTAGCAGGAAGGCCAAGACCGACTTTGCATTTCCCAACTCCCATCGATAGTGGAAATAATTAATTTTTTCATGTTTCTATGGCAGTTTTCATGTAATTTGCAGCCATTTTTTACTGGCCACGAATAGGCAGGAAGATTCTATTGGCCAGCGGGAGAGCCAACAGCTGACTGACACGAATGTTAACTATCATGCTAGCATGCAAAAAAAATTGATAGCTACATTCGTCACAAGTGGGAAAAATTTAAATCTGCATGGCACTTTACTCCAATTGGCTCATTCGCTTGCTTAAACTCAACATTGATTCTGATTCCGCAGAACTGGGTTGGGTGTGAAAAAGTATTTGTTGTTAACATTCTTTTTTCATTCAGTTTTTCCAGTTACAAGTCCTTTTTTAAAGCTGATTGTTTTGTGTTCATTTTGTTTAGTTCTTTTTTCGTAACAGATTTAATGTTTAGTATAGAGCTTAGAAAAAATTGGCAGTGTGAAATAGGCAAGAAGTAAGGCATGTAGCAACATCAGCATGGCAAAGGGCACTCCTTTAAAGGCAAGGAAGGGCAAAAATATTTTAAGTCAAGTGATAGTGATTGCTTTATGAGTCGTACGATTTTTGAATCAAGCACGGGCAACGCTTACTTGCCCTGTTTTCATGTGGCAGTAATAATTATAATGTAAATTAATCTATTGAGGGTAAATGTTCATGTCTAGACATATCTCATCTATTTTGTTACTACTCAGTTACTGTGTGCCCCATTTCCACTGAATATGGAATAGTTTCTTTTCTTGCACTTCTCGCTTGTGGAACTCTCTTCTAACTTCTTACTTTCCTGTCAACTATATCTTCAAAAAACGTAACATCAATCACTATCCTTTGTCTTCCCAAATCCTGTTCTTTCTTCTCACCAATGACTTATTCATTTTCTTTCACGCCTCCTTTTATATATCCTTCTTTGTTTTTATAATAAATTATAATATTTATATAATTTTCTTATATAAATATATATATAATAATAATAACTGACTCTCCTGTCAGTTTCGACGTACAAGTATCTGACAGCTTATTGATTCAGTTATGAAAGTTTGTACAATAATCTTAAGTGGCATTTAAGATCCGCTAGTGATTTATATATATATATATATATATATATATATATATATATAATCCTCCTATTATATATCCTTCTTTGTTTTTATTCAACTTTTACAATCAAAACATCCGGTAGAGTAAAAGGGATGCTGAATTACGTTGCTTGATCATGTTTTCTGATAGTTTTGGAGTTGTTTCTAAGAATATCAGTATTTTAATATGGCGTAGATTACTGTAGAAATTCCAAATCTCAGTTGTGGTAACCACTCTGAAATGAAATTGCTCTAAGGAACACTGAAATATTATGGTGAACCCCCAATCTTCTATGTATTTTTTTTTTGTGGACCCCCAGTAATGTTACATGGACCCCTTGGGTCCATATAGACCCAGGCCGAGAAAAAGGTAGGACATCAGATTACACAAGATTTAAAAAAAAAAAAAAAAAAAAAAAAAGTAAACAATTTTCATATTTAGAATACAAGTCGAGAAAAAGGTAGGACATCAGATTACACAAGATTAAAAAGGTAGGACATCAGATTACACAAGATTAAAAAGGTAGGACATCAGATTACACAAGATTAAAAAAAACATCAATTAACAAGATTAAAAAAAAAAAAAAAGTAAAACATTTTCATATTTAGAATACAAGCCAAAAAAAGGTAGGACATCAAAAAAGATTAAAAAAAAAAAAAAAAAAAAGAAAACAATTTTCATATTTAGAATACAATATGTCAATGTTTGATATTTAATGTTGAATTATTCAAGATTAAAAAGGATCCATCGAAAGATGCATCAAAATGGTCATTTTCCTGTACTACTCCTAATGCTATTTTTAAAAAAAAAAAAAAAAAAAACAATTTTCTTTGGGCAATGTTGTCCAACTTTCCAGTCTTGAAAGAGTTCAAAAGTATCTTGAGTCCTTGTTGGAGAAGAATTTAATTTGAATTATCCAACCTCTCTTACAGGCAGTATGAAGTCTTATTATGATACCATGGAAAGATGCAGGACCAGCCATAAAATGGTCATTTTCCAAAATGTACCACTGCCCTAAATAGATTCCATAGACAATGATTCCCCTGCAATCAAAACCTGTTTAAGTCTACTAACCCTTTAAACAACCACTAATGAATACTGTAAAAAAAAAAAAAAAATGATGGTTAGAACAGTGAGCCAGAGGATGAGATAAGTCGAAACCAGACTGAAAATGAGAGATACTGTTGCCATATTTGGTCAGGACAGGAGTTGTCCATGGTCAGACAGTGACCAGAGGATTTCCATGGTCTTGAAAGAGAGATTCAAAAGAGGATGATCTCTGAGTCCTTGTTGGAGAACAGTGAACCAGAGGATGATTTTCCAGTGAACCAGAGGATGAGAGATAAGTCCAAACTCTGAGCTGAGAGATAAGTCGATGGTCAGAGGCAGTGAGATAAGTCGATAGAACAGAGTGAGAGATAAGTCATGGTCAGAACAGTGAGCCAGAGGATGAGAGATTGGTCAGAACAGTGAGCCAGAGGATGGAAAGATAAGTCGATGGTCAGAACAGTGAACCAGAGGATTCCAGAACAGTGAGCCAGGTGAGCCAGAGGATGAGAGATGAGTCGTTTCAGAACAGTGAGCCAGAGGATGAGACCAGGTCAGAACAGTGAGCCATTTGAGATAAGTCGATGGTCAAACAGTGACCCAGAGGATGAGAGATAAGTCTCTCTGAACAGTGAGCCATTCCATCAGAACAGTGAGCCAGAGGATGAGAGATAAGTTCCAGAACAGTGAACCAGAGGATGAGAATAAGCCTCTTCCAGAGGATGAGACCACAGTGAGCCAGATATGAGAGATAGATTCCATGAGAGATAAGTCGATGGTCAGAACAGTGAACCAGAGGATGAGAGATTCGATGGTCAGAACAGTGAACCAGAGGATGAGAGATAAGTCGATGGTCAAACAGTGAGCCAAAACCTGTTTCAGAACAGTCCAGAGGATGAGAGATAAGTCGATGGTCAGAACAGTGAACCAGAGGATGAGAGAAGTATGAGAGATAAGTCTGGTCAGAACCCAGAGGATGGAGATCCTATTCCAGAGGATGAGAGATAAGTCATGGTCAGAACAGTGAACCAGAGGATGAGAGATAAGTCACTGGTCAATGAACAGTGAACCAGAGGATGAGATATAAGTCGATGGTCAAAAAAAAAGGATGAGAGATAAGATGGTCAGAACAGAACAGGATGAGAGATAAGTCCAGAACAGGATGAGAGAGATAAGTCGATGGTCAGAACAGTGAAACAGAGGATGAGAGATAAGTCGATGGTCAGAACAGTGAACCAGAGGATGAGAGATAAACAGTGAACCAGAGGATGAGATTATGGTCAGAACAGTGAACCAGAGGATGAGAGGATGAGAGGATGAGAGATAAGTCGATGGTCAGAACAGTGAACCAGAGGATGAGAGATAAGTCGATGGTCAGAACAGTGAACCAGAGGATGAGAGATAAGTCGATGGTCAGAACAGTGAACCAGAGGATGAGAGATAAGTCGATGGTCAGAACAGTGAACCAGGAGGATCATGGTCAGAACAGTGAACCAGAGGATGAGAGATAAGTCGATGGTCAGAACAGTGAACCAGAGGATGAGAGATAAGTCGATGGTCAGAACAGTGAACCAGAGGATGAGAGATAAGTTGATGGTTAGAACAGTAAACCAGACGTTGGGTGATTGTTATTTTTTCAGTTTATCATCTTTTTGGGGTTACTTTTTTGGGGTTACTTGAAAGCAAAGCACACTTTGGATTGTAAGTATAATTCTTTTTGTGACTGAATATCACATTAAGAAATTTAGAAGAGGATTTATCTACCTTTATCATTAGGCCGGAAATGAAGTACTGTTGCCATATTTGGGCAGGAGTTGCCCAGACCTCACTTTCCAGTCTTGAAAGAGTTCAAAAGTATCTCTGAGTCCTTGTTGGAGAAGAATTATTTTCCACTTTCCAACCTCTCTCTCACAGGCAGTATGTAGAGAGTCTCTCACTGCTCTATTGCTGCTATCATGGAAAATATTCAGACGAACCACCAAAGTATATACTCAGATCATTTGTAAACATCTATGCCGATAATATGACAATATATATGGTTGCACCTTCAAGATTCTTGGTGATCAGTAATTGGCAGCTGGCCTCATTTCTGATCTAGCACTAACTTCCCAGTGGGGAAAAAACTGGATAGTTTCATTCAATGTCTCAGAAACCAAACTAGATACATTCCATTACGGCCATTCAGACCCTGAATTGCTACCAGTCATGATGAACTGATGTCCACTTGAAAAGGCACCATGCCTTGAGAGAATATTGACATCAATAACCTCAAGTGGAATTTGCACATAAAATTTATTGCTAAAGATACAAGTAAAATGGCCGGCTCCCTATACTGCTCCAGTAAGTATCTGACTCATGCGATCCTCTACCTTTAGAAGAGCCAAACCAGGCTGAAAATGGAGTACTGTTGTCATATTTGGGCGGGAGTTGCCCAGTCCTCACTTTCTAGTCTTGATAGAGTTCAAAAGCATCTTCAAGTCCTTGTTGGAAAAGAATTATTTTCCACCCTCCGGAATGTGACGAGTCTCTCACAGCTCTATCGATACTACCACGAAAAGTGCTCAGATGAACAAAATTCTTTGGTTCTGCCAGGTCTAACCTTGATGGCTATGACCCGCCATGCCACTTACATTGAAGCAAGCCACCCCGATTCCCACTGTATTCCATCGGTGAAAAGGAAGTTCCACAGTTTCTTCCCAGGAAACACTGCCCTGTGGATGTTTTCCTCATCAATATAATCTTAATCTGTTCAAATCTAGAGTTAACCATTATCTTCCCCTCCTATCCATATAAACTATCCCTTAATGTAGCCCTCTACCTTGAGTGGCTCCTGGGTGAAGCTTACTGTAAACAAAAAAGTACACTATCATGAATCATAAATTCAAAACTGGCATGGATTTAAGTCATGCTTTTTTCTAAATTGGTATGAATGAAACGTTAAAAAAAAACAAAAAAACCTAGTATTTTCTATAAAACACTTTACTGCTATACTCCTAGTTGACTTGATTTATATTTGGCCACAATTCTCTTATATAAAGGGCTTCCAGAATTTTAAGTTTATGCTTGAATGAAAATATGCTCGCTAAATATGCACGTATATATAGATGTTTATTTGTTTCTTCCTCTCTATAACAGACATTTCAATTCAGCCATATTTCTATGCAATAATATCAAGAAATATCACATGACATCAGCTCATAGGTGGAGATAAGTATAGATATACAACTATCCTTTTTGAGTGCTTACAGTAGTGTAATGTTTAACGAGCTAAACTTGAAGATGATTAACACTGCAGTGAGTTTAGGTCGCAACAAGACCTCTTCCATTATGACCTTGCACCACCAGTCAGACCCCAGACTATCACCAGTCATGATAGACAGATGTCCGCGAGAGGAGGCTCAATTCCTTGAGAGAATATTTGGGCCTCAAACTCAAACCTGACCTCAATATACAATTCATCGCTAAAGATGCAGGTAAAATGATCGGCTCCCTATACCGCTCCAGTAAGTACCTGACTCCTCATGCTATCCTCTAACTTTAGAAGAGCCAAACCAGGTTGAAAATGGAGTACTGTTGTCATATTTGGGAGTCAGCTTCCCAGTCCTCACTTTTGAGTCTTGATAGATTTCAAAAGCATCTCTGAGTCCTTGATTGAAAAGAATTATTTTCCACCCCCTCACAGGTAGGATATAGCGAGTCTCTCACTGCTCTATTGCTACTACCACGGAAAGTGCTCAGATAAACTACATTCCTAGGTTCTGCTAGGTGTAACCTTCACAGCTAGGACCCACCATGCCACTTACATAGTAGCAAATCACCCACATTCCAACAGCAAAAAGTAAGTTCCACTCAAACAGCTTCTTCCTGAGAACCACTGCCCTGTGTAACAGACTCGCAAGAGGAGTTTCCCTGATCACTACAATCTTAACCTGTTCAAGGATAGAGTTAACTGTTATCTTCCCTCCTACCCATATAAACTATTGCTTAACGTAATCCTCTACCTTGAGTGGCCCCCAGAGTGAACCTTACTGTAAAAAATTTAAAAATTCTAGCTATAAAAAAATGTGTGTGTGTGTGTGTATCTATCGTGGTACATTTGTAAGCAAGTTGTTTCTGTAGACCCATTTGCTAATGCTGAGAGTTTAATACTTATTTGTATTCCACACTCGGAGGAAAAACCTGCCTATAAAGTAATGGCTCCCAAGCTGGTGTTGCAGATTGTTATGACTGAATAGTGAAATCAAATTTTACTGGGTGCCCCAAACTTGAAGCCTTCTGCCAAACTTAAGTTAAGCTTAGTTGGGAAAAACATCTCATTACAGAATGGTTAGTAAAATACTAAAGCACACCATTACTACTATGTTGTAGTAGGCACCTTAAAAAAAAAAAAAAAAAAAAAAGTGCTATACCTAAGTATAAGATGCATTTTAAAAAATGAAAAATCTTTTTTGAAGCTAACAGATCCACTTTAATATTCCTCACTATTTACATAATTCGGACTATTATCCTCATCTCTGTCGCCATATTTATTACAACATTTCAGCCGTTGTACACTCTGGCCTTCTTCAGGTGGTTAGAATGTCAAACTGAACCCTTTATTTCACTCACTGGGGTAGACTGTTCTAGTTCCACATGCCATGTTAAATGGATATCAGTTATCAGTTATCTTCTGTTAATTTCCCTCTGAAAGTTCTCCACTGCCTTAACCGGGTATTGAACTCACACTCTTTGGATCCTGTCACTGGATCTAACCAACGCCTTTATCCACTGTGTCATGTGTTCCTAATATGCAAAATACTTTAGTGTATTTCAAACTGAATTTAAATTAATTACAATCTTTCTTTTTTCTGCATATCATTAAAAACTATAAATTGATCCTCACTGGGTGCCCCATACTTTTGGCCTTATGCCACATCTAAGCTACAATTAGAAAATCATTTAGGGCACTTTGACATGTTGTAATGATGGTTAGTAAGGTTGTCGCACTAGATCAATTATGACTGAAGTGTGAGTTTGATCCTCACTGGGTGCCTCATACTTTTGGCCTAATGCCATAAACTAAAATAAACTCAGTAAATAACTGCCTCATCACTAAAAACTGGCCACCCAGCCAGCTTGGATTACTGTCTAAGATTAATGTAAGTTAAAAGGAAGGCCGTCTGACAGGCAAATAGATTTTAAATTGGCAGGAGCAATTATTTTATTAATAGGAAAAAAAGAAAAGGGGTTAGAATTATCATATTTGCAGACACATGGTTTTCAAGAGCATAGGAGAGATGGAAGGACGACTGTACATTGTAACTGAACCAAGCCTCATAGATGTCCATTTGGTTTGGTTTGTTTTATGGCATATCAACACCTCAATGGGTTATTTAATGCCGACAAGATTTTTATTACTGGTAACATTTTTTTTTTTTCCAAAAAATGTATTGCTGGTATTAAAACTTATTTTTACACTTTCATAGTGTTTTGACCCCAGTTTGGGGCTAACTATTTGTCTGTAGCCGGGACCCTGTTAGGTGCTACCACCCAGTGTCAGGGTGGACCTGAGAACACCAGCAATTAAGAGATGGTTCCATGTTCCTCAAAACTTCCTGATCAGAGGATTTGCTGTTGGATGTAGTTTATTGTCTTACCCAGGATGGGGTCTATTTTGAGCTGAGGTAGACAACATCCATGCCAAAGTCATAATGCCAACAAATTGGACCCTCTAATACAGACTCACACAAATTTTAATAGAATATAAAAGGAATGATTTTTTTTTTTTTTAAATCATTTCATCCCAAACAAGGCAATAATGCCACTAGGACACAAGGGATTACTGAAAGAATGGGAAGACTTTAGTGAGGAAAAAGGAAAATAAAAGAACAGGTTTCAAGAAGATGGAAAATGCCAATTGACATGGCATTTAAATTTTTGAAGATTGTAACTGACAGAGAAGCAAGAAATCAGAAGAGAGTTCCACAGGTGAGAAGTGTGAGAAAAGAAACCATTAGAATAGAACTTATGGTTACATCTAGAGCTATTCCAGCAGGAAAATGATGAGACCTAACTGCCCATCTAGTAGTATTCTTAAATTCATGCAACTGAGGTACCAAGCAGAAGAACATTGAAACAACTACCATGAAAATACTAACACATACACCTGCAATCTTACCAAAAATAAACTTTATATATATATATATATATATATATAAAAAGACATGTCTCATTAAATAATGTAGACAAGTTTTGTCTACTTATTCTTAATAGGATCCTCTTATATTTATGGACAAGTTTCTTAGTATCCTTATTAAAGGAAGAAAAAATTCCAATGTATATCCATTTTATTTCTGAGTACTTTCAACATTAGCACAATGTCATCTTCAGGGTTTTGTTTGTGATAAGACAAAATTGCTGTGTCCATCTGAAAATTAATTTTTTTACTTTAAAATTAATTTACTTGTTACTTCACAAGTAAAAAAGAAATTAATTTTCAGATGAACAAAGTAATTTTGTCTTACCAAAAATAAGAACCAGAAGATGAGTGATTTTTTTTTTCTTCACAAGTAAAAAAAATTTAATTTTCAGATGAACACAGCAATTTTCAAAAAAGCAATAATTGCACCTTAAATGGGTTTGACTGACCATGTTGTGCATTGAACGGATTTTGATAACTTCCCTACAATGAATTACATTGTTTCAACCAAGGGGGCATTTAAAAGGAGGAGTAATCATTTAATATCGTTCATACTGAGAAGATGCAGTAATAACATTGATTTGTCAAAATACGTTTGGAAAATTAAACCTGAAAAGAACTCTTAACCAATATTAAGATGCAGTATAGTAAAGAAGAGTAAGAGTTATACAGAGATGGAAAATTTTGTAAATTATGATGGGAGAAGAAGTTGTTGAAATTGAAGTTTCCATATCCAGATTCTGAAGTATGACAAGATGTTTACAAACAAAAATATATTTTAATATGGAACCTGAATGATATTCACTTCCAGGTGTATATATATATATATATATATATATATATATATATAAAATAAATTCTCCATATTTATGGCCAACGAGCTTAGGTTAGAAAGACAAAAATTGAACCTGGCCTGATGATCCTTCAATTTGAGGGTGAAACTCAAGTAGCTTTGTTTTTATTTCTTATTCTTTATATATATAACAAAAATAGTTTTAAAGGTGTGTGTGTGTGTATATATATATATATATATATATATATATATGTATTAAAAATAGTTTTTTTATGGTATATAAAAAAATAGTTTTAAATGGTATGCTATATATATATAAATATAGGTTTTAAAAAATATAGTTTTAAATGTGTGTATATATATATATATATATATATATATATATATAAAATATATATATAAAATAAATTCTCCATATTTATGGCCAATAACTTAGCTTAGTTTTACCTGGTATGCTATATAAACTCAAGTAAAATTCTTTTTATATATATTTATATAATATATAACAAAAAAAATAGTTTTAAAAAGGTGTGTGTGTGTATGTACATATATATATATATATGTATATAAGTATATGTATTAAAAATATTTTATATATATATATATTTTATATATATATATATATATATAAATATATAAATAAAAAAATTTAATGAAAACAGACAACTTTAAGGGTCCATTGGCTATAATTTATTTTCCCAAACTTTATAAAGACTTATTCAAACATGTTTTAGAACAATAACAAGCATGCAAATGTTGCACCTTATTACTACTATAGTGAGGTTGTTCTTCAGGATATTCCAGACCAATGTTTATTTATAATTATCTATAAAAGATTAACTCACTACAGCGTTATGGTTAAAAAGCTTATCTCAAAATCCATTAGTATTTTTCACTGGATCTCTAACAGTCACTTAGTAAATATATTTGGTGTGGAGTGATAGTTAGAAAGGTAGTTACTATTACTACTGTAGAGAGTTCACTCTTTACCAAATACCCAATACTTTTAGCCTTGTGCCAGACTAAGTTAACTAAATATGTTATAATTAGTTTAGAAATTAAAAAAATGAACTACTTAAAAATTAATTAAAATAAAAAAAAATGCCCTCATCTTTGTTTCAACTGTAGCGTCCTGCAGGCTTCTTCAGGTGTCACTTGATCTGGGCAACCTTCTGGAAATTTCGAACTGAACCCTTTATTCAATCTACAGGTAGACTGTTCTTATTCTAGGGATATTTCATCCTAATTGTTCAGTTATTGCTAGTTTTGTTTCAACTAAATCCATGTTTCACTATACTACATAGCCCAAGGATTGAACTCTCAATTATTGTGTCAGCAGACACAGGACAATGGCTTAGAGAATTAATGTGCTGGTTAGTGAATTTGGTGATGATAACAGATGAGTTCAATCCCTGAGTCAGGTAGTATAGATATACCCAGTGGAAACAGGGTCAGCAATAACTGATTAATTAACCAAGACATCCCTAGAGATGGACAGCATAATGAGAAAAATATCTATCCCTGTTGATTGAATAAAGGGTTCAGTGTGAAATTCTGAGGGTTACCCTGAAGAAGGCCAGAGGGCACAATGGCTGAACCATTGAATAGGATACTATTCCAATTGTAAATAAAGGAAATTCTTCATCCCAGAAATTCAAACAAAGATTTAAAGAAAAAAAAAATGACTTAATTTTTTTAAAACTTAATTGCATAATATTTTTGCATTTTCTATTAAACTTTAAAAAATATTAAAACTTAATTTGTTTAAACTTAATTTTTTTTAAATACATTTAAGTTTTAAAAGAATTTCTTTACAAAATTAAAAAATAATTTCATTTAAAAAATTTTAATTGCTTAAAACTTAAATTTTTTTAAAAACTTAAATTTTAAAAAAACTTACTGTAAATTTCGGCATACAAGTTGAGTTTTCAAGCCTAAAAAATCTTTTTGGGTGACAGTTTACTGGTAGCCTACCATATGCTTGAAGTTGGCAGGGGTTTTACCTTTATGGTAGGTATAGGCCTAACTCAGAATTTTGAGCTAAAAATCTCAACGTCTTGTATATAGTTATTTAGTCATAATTACTTACCTTTGTTTTTTTAATGTTTAAATTTTCTAATTAAATGATATTTTTATATTTCCTTTGCAATATATCTAACTTGGTCAAATTCAGCAATGAAGAATTAGAACAAAGTTTAAAAAAATACAAAAACTTACTTGTCTTTATTCGGCTGACTTTCAGAATTCCTGATCTTGTGTATTGATTGCTTCCGAGAACCAATAAGTCTTCCATGTTTTTTAATCCTCCCTTCCAAAGATCCATTTGTTTTGGTAATCCGTTTCCCAGGGCTTACAGGTTCATCATCACATCCCTCACCCTTGGGTAATCGGGAGGGTGGATTCACATAATATCCAATCAATATTTTGGCGTCATCCTTCGAGATGACCAATGTGCTCTTGGAATTATATGCACGTCCATATTGAACAAGGAAGTAGCGCTGAAATTCGGTGCAATTCTGCACCTTAAGTCCCAAGAGTTGGCACCGTTTTTTCAAGATTCCCGTGTCTTTTGCAGGAAGAATTTGCTTGTGGATATCAACCAAACGAATAAATGGTTGACTATCAATCACAATTGCAGGTAAGTCATTCCAGAACATTGTGACTGTTACGATCCAAGGAGCTGTGCCCTCAGAAACAGACGACGTGTCCGTGACTGCAGGTTCTGGAAACAAATCTGATTTATCCAATCTTAAATTCAGGAGGTCGAATTTCTCAAGAGATGGGATGTGTACATCAGTCAGACCCGAGTTGGAATTGTTGGCACACAAAGTATTCAGGTCCGAAGATGGCAAACCTTCCGAAGCACAACTGAGAGTAGGACCTTTAAATTTATCACTACTTGTGCCTATCATTGGATTAATGTCACTGATTGGTATATTCTCTAAATCAAGTAGATTGTTGTCTGTAGTGAGTACTTCTGATTTTACAAGGTCATCTGCAGGAGGATTGCAGCTTGACCATTGTGCTACAGGGATGCCTGTTGCTTGTGATGTAGTTATTGCAGGGACATCTGACTTGTCTGTTGCTTCTTTATGGTCACTGGAATCAGCCAAACATGGATCAATTTGGTCTTCAGGCAATATGGAAGTTGGACTTAATTCCTTGCCGATCTCATCATTGTAGGAGTCGATACTTTTTTGGATTTCATCAAGTGTCTTGAAATTTGTACTTTCAACTTCTTTGACAGCATTGAAGAGAATATCCATTTCTTCCGGTGTCAAATATTGTTCTGGATTAGCAGCAAGGTTATCAGGAGCCACAGTACTATCAATCAACCCTGGGAGCACACTCTCAGGAGCAGGATCAGAACACAGGTTTTCCATACTGAGAACACTGTTTATAAACCGGTTATCAACTTCCAGCTCACCTGAGGCATCTTGAGAACTCTTCCAAACAGGTGTATCTGTAGTTTGATTACTGTGACTCCGTTTATGCTTTAAAGCCTCAATGTCGGCATCAGTGAGATGAGGAATGACGATGTCTGAATAGTTCCTGGCTTGGAGATTCTTGTCTGGGAGGATTTCATGGCTGATCCGCCTGCGACTCCTGGTTGTCTTGTTAAGGAAGTACACATAATCGTTCTGAAAACTGCCTGTTATTTTCAGTTTGGACTCACTTGACCGAGCGACATCACAGTTAGGGTCAGCGAGTTTGGTAGCATCTCCCGTTTTCTCTGCCAAAGGAGATTCCTGCAATGGCTCGCTACTGTCCACAAATTTGGTAACAGAATTATTACGACTTTTTCGTAAATATTTAGCCTCAGAGCTTGAAGATGGCGTTCGGAGGGGCGTAATGCCAGTGTAAGAAGCTGAGGAGGAGGAGGAAGAAGAAGAAGAATATGCTAAGGAATTTGAAGAAGAATTGGAACTTTTTGAAGGATTAATATTTGCAAATTTCGAAGAGCAGGATCCGAGTTTTGACCCAGACAAAAGCTCTTTAGCAAGCTCACACTTCATCGGAGAAATTGTTGTTCTCATACAGTAATCATGGTCATGAAGAATGTGACTGATTCTGACATTGGCCTCTAATGATTGGCGTCTGGTAATTCCAGAACTTCCTAAATTACTTTTTTGACAATGTTCTCCAAGAGACATCAAGTTCTTTTGAACATCAGGCTTATCTGTGAAGTCCACTTTTCGACAATAAGTGAACTTCTCCCGCGATTTATCAGAGAGGGACAGGCTCCCAACGGACGATGATGTATCTGAATTCTCATCCCATTCTATGTTAGATATCGATCCAAAAGTACCGATCCGAAAGCAACTGACTTTTGGTGACCCTTGCAAGCTTCCTCTACTTCCCAGACCTCCAGGGGTTTTTAAAGGAGTGATTTTAGGTGATGTGATGGATGCAGAATTACTATCCATCAATTTGACAGGGGTTAATAAGCCATTTACCTTGCGTTCATCATCTGACCTTTGATCGAAACCACGGTAAGCTTTGGAGTTACGGTCATGCCCAGATGAGGGTAAATCAACCAGAAATTTTGTGGCAGGGTTTGAAGTGAGGGTGTTGCCATTCGGCGAAGTTGTAGAAGAGATCGTTCCGTTACCTTTATGGTACTTTTCGACCCCCTTCAAGGACATTGTGGTTTTTTGGTTCTTTATCTTCCAGTTTGAAGATTTTGAGAATGTGTTTTGGGCAAGGAAAGAGAGGCTTTCCTGTTGGTCAGGAATATCGTCCAATGAACTAGAATCAGAAATTTCATCATCACATGGGTGTGCATCCCTCAGCAATGATTCTGACTCTTGGGTTTTTGACACTGACCAACAGTATGAATGGTCATCAGCAATTGCAGTTGTACAGCGCAACAGGTCATTGACAAATCCACTGCTTGAACTACTGATCTTATTGCTGGATGTTTCCAAGAGTTGGTCGATTTCTTTATTCGGCACAGAAAATGTACAGTTATAGCCGGCATTAAATGACCCATAAATGTTTCGGTAGGCTTTGCTACTGAAATGAAAGTCTTTGGATGAAGTGCCCTTGTTGTCATCATTATCGTACACCTTTTCTGACGATTTCATGTGGTCGTACGCCATATCACAAGTGTTCTCAGAAACTAGGCTCTCACATCGCCGTTCTAATGAAATGTTATTGTTAAAGGCACAATCTGAGTTGTTATAGAGGTCGCATGTGGAATTAACACCCGCATGGCCACTGTTGTTGCTATTGCTGTCTTCAGTAGTTTCTTCAAATTCACTGCTTTCAAAACAGGTTTGAGGAAGTGCTACAAAGGATTCTGGTGAGTCTACACCAATATTTGGGGAGGATTGGCTGCCAGCACTGTCATCGGACCCACTGTGATTGTTGCTGCTACCACATACCACCAACCCTTCATTAGGATTGGCCTTAATAGGGGCTGCAGTTTTTGTGAGAGTTTTATTATCAGTCCATTTTGACAGATTATCCTGTATGGTTGAAACATTGTTTACATCTTTTTGTGCCTCATTCAGCAGGGTTGGAGGTGTGGAGGATACAGATGGCGGGGATGAGGGTAGTAATGTGGATGATGGTGATGGTGGTGGAGATGGTGGAGGTGATGGTAATGATTCATGGAGTATTTGAGAAGAAGTGGAGGGGTTTTCATTTGAAAAAGCAGCAACAGCAGTGGCTAACTCGTCCTTTTTCTGGATAAGGTCCAAATCAGGAGCTGTTAGTTTTTTTACATTTAAAGTGCTTCTAAAATCTACCTGACAAAGCTTGGTAGTCATAGCCATAGCTGTAGTAGTAGCTGTAGCACTTGTAGTTGCAGTAAACTTAGGTGACAAAGAAGAAAGAGTTTGACTTATTGACAGCATGGCAGGTGAGGCTGTGGACTTAGCAGTAGTTGTTTCAAGGGTGTGAGTACTCCTGTTATTAATACTCTCTGCATTTTTCTCACCTGTGGCTGACTCGTCCGTCTCACCAGAAGAGTTAGGCATAATCTTATCCTTACTCGGTCCACACATAGTGTCGGTCACACTATCAGTTTTCTTCTCTTGTACAATTATAGCATTCAAGCTGTTAGCAGTAGCAGTTGCAGTCGTAGTATCCCAGTTCTGTACTGCTGGAGGAGTTTCTTTGACACAAACACGGCCATTCTTTGCTGATGTAATAGCGGAAAATGGCAGTGGTTGCTCATTGCTACCAACTGACAAAGATGACGACGACGATGAGGGTGATGAAGATGGCGATGATGGTGGTGTGGATGACGAGGGTGCTATACGAGAAGAGGCAGTGATAGTTGTGGTAGGTGTACAAGAAGAAGAAAAAGGTGAATTATAATATGAAACAATCGGATCAGACTTGGGATGACTTACTATAACATTTTTCAGTGAGAGACTTTTTTCATCAGTCCTACTATGGGTCCTTGTGACAGCAGAATCAGTAGTAGTAATAGTAGTAGTAGTAGCAAGCTGGTTAAGCCCACCTTTCTGTGATGGTGGGAGTGGAAGTAAGGATGATGAGAGAAGAGGAGAGAGCACTGTAACATTGTTCAACACTTCCTTGTTTTCTTTCTTCTCCTCTGCCTTCTCCTCCCCGCTTTTGTTCATGGGCAGCTGCTGCTGCTGCTGTTGTTGTTGTTTCTCTTCTGTATTATTTAAGTTAGAAATGCTTTCACTCTTTTCACTCTTTTCACTGTTGGGTTGGCCTGCTGCTGCTGCTGCTGGAAGGGGTCCTCTCAGGCTCCCACTCTCATCAGAGCCCCTAGGGATAACCAGCTTTTGTTGTGTTTCACCAAATGACTCCCTGCTAGGGTCTCCATCTTCTCTCCTGCCAACCTCCCCACTCCTGTTGTTGACATTACCCTCACAATCAACTTCATTATCCTCTGTAATAATAGTAGCAGTAACAGCAGCAGCAGTGGTGGCGGTAGTAGCAGTAGAAACAGCAGCTTCAGAAGTAGAAGAGGAAGTAGCCTGGCATTCACTGCCTGAACAAACGGAGGTGATTTCAGCATGTCTGGTTTTGGTACTGCTACTTGCTGAATACTTACCTTCCGTTGTTCTTGGGGGGACAGGTGCTACCGCCAGTGCTCCGGAGGAAGAAGTGACCAAACTATCAAAAGTTGGAGTTGATGATGACACCGGAACTGAAGATTCCTGCTGGGGAGCAATGACGACTGTTTTGGAGTTCTGCTCCGTTATTGGTCTCTGTTTGCTAATTTCAGCATTTTTGGTCTGGGGGTAACTGTCCTGGGTAGAGTAATCTGAGGAGTTTACACCTGAGTAATTACTGCCAGTCAGTAATGTCCCCTGTTTAACTTTGCCGGATTCCGTATCTTGTTTTGATGTGACGTCTGTGGAGCTCAGCCGTTGCAACCCAGAATTGTCAAACTCTTTGTGACAGGAACCTTTATTATTATTATTATTATTATTATTATTATTGCTGCTGCTGTTGCTAGATGTTTCTTTGTTGATGACTCTTGGTGCTGCGATGACAGCACTTTTGGTAGATGTGTGGGTACTGTTTATTTTCGAGTCAGTTATAGTAGTAGTAGTAACATTTACGCAAGATTGATAAGCCGTTGTGGCTGTTCGTATTGCAGGCTCAGAAATCGAAGAAACTGTTAGCGGTGACTGTGACTCAACCACGCCCGATGCTGCAGTGCAAACAGGATCTGAAGTCACAGTGGTAAATGTCTTGGTCTCTTGAGTTATTCTGCTGCTGTAGATTGTTACTTTATCACAACCAGGTTGACTCATTAGTTCTGGATCACATGGGAAACCGTTTTTGCTGGCCGTGTCTTTGAATTTACCGTTTCTGGTGCTTTCGTCAAGCTTGTAGTTTTTGTCGTTGTTGTTGTTTTTGTCCTTGCCTGGTTGGGTGAATTCTGATTCATTTTGACTTTTCAAGGACGTAGTAGTTACAGGCAAATGATCCAGCAGATTGCAATCCATTTGGCTGATCCGTCTCGTCAGAAATCCATCTTGGCTGGATCAAATGAGCAGTCGGCAACCAACTGAAAAAAAAAAAATAAATTAAATTACATACAGTTATTGGCAATGTTCAATTTGTGAGAGCAATCTTCAAAATATACATTTTTTTTCTACAGTCAAAAATTTAATCATTGTATATGAAGTCAAGTTTCAATTATAGTGATCCCTAACCTCCACAAACGAATTAATGATTTTGCTTTTTGAATTATCAGTAACTTGCAGCCTATACCAGAAATAAACAATTCATAATTTTTACTAAATAATAATCACAAAGCACAAAAATGTAACCCTACGGTTGCAACACCAAGATGGAAATGGCGCATAATTTTATCATTGTCATAACTATCTGAACCATAGAGAATAAAATAATACGTAAATAAATAAAAACTTTCAGGGTCAAGTGACAACAAACTGGATGTTGAGGATTTCCAGTTGCTGGTCTATATTAGTGGTTCCCAAACAGTGTGGCAGAAGAGGACAGCAGGTGAGGTGGAATGATTGAATGACAAACAAAAATTCATGTCAAAAAAGAAATATAATTTCAAAATTTCAAATATTATTATGGATTACTTGTAATTGCAGGCATGAGTCCCTGTATAAATAATTATAAATAATTTCTGACTGATTTTATCATTGTGATATTTTTGTATTATATGAAGCATTAAGAATATAGTAACTAGAGTCTGCAAATTGGAAGAGAGAGTTATCAATGATATTGTCCTGACTCCGAATCCATGGTTATCACCCTTTAATGCTTTATGACATAAAATTTGGTGAGATGCAAACAAATTTTAATTCTGAAAATGCAGCCCAGAGAAAAAAAAAAAAAACATTTGGGAAGCACTGGCCTATATTAACAGTTACATTTGGGTTAAGAGTAGTGCTGGGCTGCCTTTGGCATGGGAATGTGGGGGTTGATGAACAGATAATTCCTCAAAGAAGTGCTGGGCTGCCTATTAACGAGGGAAGGCAGACCATCGAGGTCGTTCCAAGTTCACTTGTTAGAGCTGACAGTCAAATATCAGAATGTTGAAATGGGCAGAAAGGGGGGGCCAGAGAGTCAGAGTTCTACGCTTGAAGTGAAAAGCTAACCTATTAGTCTGAGATGTCAGAAGATGTCCTAAGTGTCACTCTCCTACACACTCAAACCAAAGTATGGTTTAATGTCAGGGAAACCAGGTAATGTCCTAATGTTATTTAGCACTAGCAGTAGAGTCCGGCGTTGCCCGGGGATGTAACAGTAAGAGATAGATCAAGTATCGACCATCATAAAGACTGAAAAATAAAATTGACAAAGATTATTAAGGTTGACGGACATGCATGTCTTAATTAGTTTTTTTTTTTCTTCTTTTTTTTACGAATTGGTCAAACCCAAACTCAAACAAAAACATTGTTTTCAATTGTTATGAGTCTACTGATTGAATAGAATTTTATTATAAACAATTATCTTGTAAATGGAATTTTTAAAGCATTCTGAATGTAAAAATAAAGAAAAAAGTGTGCAAGACAATAAGAAACACTACCTGCCAAAAACAAGTGAAGTTTTGTTGAAATTGGTTGAAAAATGTAGGAAATCCGATCCCATATATAAATGAACACAGACACACAAACACAAACAACCTGGGTTTTATAATAAGTATAACTCAATATGAGTTGTCCCCCTTCCATTCTCACAACAGCGAATGCCTCTTAATCGTGTTGTCAAATTGATTTCATGCAAAAACAGTTGTGTTTTTTCCAATTTTTGGTGCTGTCAGAACCACCGCAAGGTAATTTTATGTAGTCCTGTGAAGTTTTGTTGAAATCGGTTGAAAAATGTAGGAAATCCGATCCAATATATAAACGTACAGACACACACACACAATCTGTGTTTTATAATAAGTAAGATGTATTCAATAACATGTTGATGATACCATGATTGGGACATCCACATAGAAGGGGATGATGTGTTAAGTCCCAAAACTTCTCTCACTGATGTTCCTAAGTGGATTAAAATCATTAGTTGCAATAATCCAAAAATTGACTCAACACAAAGATTATGGCTGCAGCAGAGGAGAACAAAAAAATGGAGAGTTGAGTTACTAAAAGGGAATTAACTGTTAAAATGAGATATCCAGAAAAGGCATAGTATGTGGAACTAGAACAATCTACCCCCATAAACTAAAAGTGTTCAGTTTGAAATTTCAATGTGCATTACCTGAAGAAGGCCAGAACGTGTGACTGTTGCAATGTGTTGAATATGACAAGATAGGACAACAGTTTGAATTTTATATATATATATATATATATATATATATATAGGTAAAATGGAAACAAATGGAGTATAATTCCAATGTACGTAACATTTAATTTAAAAAGAGGACTCAATTGAGAGTAGAGCTAAATATTGTTTATTTTAAGATATTAAAACAAAAACATGTTAAAAATCGCTACACAATTACAATTATGTTTCAATGCTACAAATGTGTCTCCTCAGGTAATGTTAAACTCCTGGTGAATGAACAATTAATTTAATCTCAAAAGCAGAATACTTCCTCTATTTTTGAGAAAAAACAAAAGAAAACCAGCATAAAAATAAACTTGTGCGCTTTGCCGTGATTAACCAATCAAATGTGACCTACACTAAATTCAATCTCACTGAAAATTTTTTTTTTAATATAGGTCATGACATGAAGTTGTATGCATATACTTCTATATATCTTACTGTTGTGGTGTCTTCCCTTTAATTAGGCTATTGTGGACTTCCACTTACTATAAAGTGAGTAGGAAAGTAAGCCACGGAGGAAACAGTGGTATAGACTGAATGCTGGTCAACCAACACACACTTCCAAGTCGTGTAACACACTTCTGTTGTATTTACTGTTCATGCACTATTTATCTGCAACATCTTGTTTTGTTATTTCTTAACCAATTACTTGGTCACAATACTTACAAAATAATGTAACCACTTGTATCTGTCCGTAAGGAAATTGTTTAGGATTTATATGCAGACAACTTTGTGTCATGACTTATATTAAAAAATTCTTTTCAGTGAATTTGAATTTAGTGTAGGTCACATTTGATTGGATAATCACAGCAAAGCCCACAAGCCTATTTTTATTCTGTTTTTGTTTTCTTCTCGAAAAAAAAGAGGAAGTATTCTGCTTTTGAAATTAAATTGTTTACACACCAGTCGCTTAACACCGCCCAAGGAGACACATTTGTATTGTTAAAATATAATTGTAATTGTGTAGCAATTTTTAACGTGTTTTTGTTTTAATATCCTAAAATAAATAGTGTGCGTGTGTGTGTTTGAGATTCATGAACCCTTCTTTGCACTCAAAAGCTAAAACAGCCTGCAGGTCATGTTGAAGTCACTAACTGGGGAACATAGTGGCAAGCAGTCATGTAACAAACAATTAAGCTTTTTCTGCCAATTGGAAGGCAGCACAAACCAAGGATGCAGATTCCTTCTTGATCCACTGAAGTAATATAAATACAACCCCACATGCTACAAAAAGAGACATTATCATGTCACCAGTGACTTCAACATTCAATGGCTTCTTTGCTCACCTCTTCATATTCCCTTTGCATCCAAGCTGACCTACCCCACCCAACACAACCACTTCCAGATTTCCTATCTGCACCACTCACATGAAGCCGAACTTAAGCATCATTCTACCATCCTCCCGCTCAAACTTTCATCTGAACAAATTTCAACCATAAACGACAGAACTCTAACAAACAGACGCACATTTTTTGTATTGACTTCTGGTTACCTGTCTATATTTCTGAGATGAGGTATTATGTACACTATTTACATTATTTGGACTATTGTCCTCATCTTTGTTGTCATATTTATTACAATGTTCTGGCCCTTCAGTATCTGTCTATATTTCTGAGATGAGGTATTATGTACATTATTTACATTATTTGGACTATTGTCCTCATCTTTGTTACCATATTTATTACAACGTTTCGGCCCTTCAGTATCTGTCTATATTTATGAGATGAGGTATTATGTACATTATTTGGACTATTGTCCTCATCTTTGTCGCCATATTTATTACAACATTTTGGCCTTTCAGTATCTGTCTATATTTCTGAGATGAAGTATTATGTACACTATTTACATTATTTGGACTATTGTCCTCATCTTTGTCATCAGAAGTAGGCCAGAGCGTACAACAGCTGAAACATTGTGATAAATATGCTGACAAAGATGAGGACAATAGTCCGAATAATATAAATAGCGGACTCCTGGTTACCTTGTCTATATAACATCCTTGTTTCTTGTTTTTTCTAAAAATATATATTCAGTCTTACTCCGGTGTTTGTCTTTTTCCTTGCTACTATATTATTATATTTTTTTCATAGAGACAAAAACAATTTACTCACTACAAAGATGTAACCTTGTTTCAGTGCATTTAATTGCACCTCGACTAGTGAGACCCAAAATGGTTAGGAACAATTGCTTCTTTCATAACCATTTTGGCTCACACTAGCTGAGATGCAACTAAATGCAGCAAAACGAGGTTGCATCTTTGTAGTGAGTAAATTTTTTTTTTTCTATATGAAAAAATTATAAATAATAATTGCTCTACTATTGGTATTGAGCCCTCTTTTGAATTAATGCTGTGAATGTTAGAATTTATATATTATTTTTCGTTTCTCATTACATTCAGAGATATATATATATATATATATATATATATATATATATATATATATATATATATATCATAAAGAAACAATTTATACAAATAATTAAATAGCAATGTTAATGTGATTAATGGCAAAAATCACTTAGTTAACAAGACTTAACGAGACATTAACTTACTATCAATTCATTTAATAATAACATCCTTATATTCAAGATGTTGTCAGATGGAAGACACATCCCAAGTACTTTTGACATTTTCAAATTGTCATCTTCAGGGTTCAATTTTCTTATACATAGGCAAATACTAAGACGAAATATGTATAGACCGAAAGATGTTTTTTTAAATTATGGTCTATAAGCATCTTATTATTCAAGGACTTGATAGTAAGTTAATGTCTCATTAAGTCTTGGTAGAGAAGTGATTTCATCATTAACCACATTAACATTGCTATCTATATCTTTGTATAAATTCTTTATGATATATATATATTTCTGAATGTAATGAGAACGAAAATAATATATAACTTCTAACGTTCACACCTCATACTAATATAATAATATATAAATTCTAACGTTACCCCAGTTTAACATTCCAACCACCTGAAGAAGGCCGAAACGTTGCGATAAACATGTCGACAAAGATGAGGACAATAGTCCGAATAATGTACATAGTGTACATTTTTATTCCTTTTGTATTCTGTTGGTGAGATGTAAGTTCCACTTAAGCAGCTTCTTCCCACAAACTGCTGCTTTGTGAAACCGATTCCCAAGAGTAGGCTTCTCTAATCACTACAACCATAACCTGTTCAAATCTAGGGTTAACCATTTGGTCCCTGTGAACATCATTAAAAAAAAAAAAAAACTCTCCAAGCCTTCTTTCCTCATTATGTCAGCAAGAAATTTCAGCAGATTCTTTTTTTTATTCTCAGTGTCCTTTTTGTTTTTATTTGCTTATGCTTGCCATCCATGACATTCTCAATATCCTTCTGTAGTGAAATCTAAAATTACTTAGAGGGATATGACCATATTTTTCTATCAGTTTGACAAAAAAAAAAAAAGCGATTAGAGAATACATCGAACAATCTATCATTTCTCTACCTAAATAATTAAAATCTAATTCAGTTTGGAATAATCTAATAATGTCGTTTCCACCAGTGATACATCTGTTGGATGCAAGAGAGAGAGAGTGAGAGAGACAGAGAGAGAGAGAGAGTGAGAGAGACAGAGAGAGAGGGAGAGAGAGAGTGAGAGAGAGAGAGAGAGACAAGGTCTTAAACAGAAAATGTATCCCTGCCCCACTCTTCTACTCAATCATTAGATCTTGTCATTTTAATTTGTGGCAGTGATTAAGTTAAAAGCATAGAAAAAAAACATTCACAGCTGAAAACATTTACACCAATTTATATATAACTAGCAGTAGAGCCCGGCGTTGCCTGGGGATGTAACAGTAAGAGATAGATCAAGTATCGACCATCATAAAAACTGAAAAATAAAATTGACAAAGATTATTGTTTAAGGTTGACGGACAAGCATGTCTTAATTAGTTTTTTTATTTTTTTTTTTATTTACGAATTGGTCAAACCCAAACTCAAACAAAAACATTGTTTTCAATCGTTATGAGTCTACTGATTGAATAGAATTTTATTATAAACAACTCTCTTGTAAATGGAATTTTTAAAGTATTCTAAATGTAAAAATAAAGAAAAAAGTGTGCAAGACAATAAGAAACACTACCTGCCAAAAATAAGGGAAGTTTTGTTGAAATCGGTTGAAAAATGTAGGAAATCCGATCCCATATATAAACGAATACACACACACACAAACAACCAACCTGGGTTTTATAATAAGTATAACTCGATATGATTTGTTTCCCTTTCATTTTCGTGATGTCTCTTAATCGTGTTTTCAAATTGATTCCGTTAAAAACAATTGTGTTTTTCCAATTTTGGTGCTATCAGAACCACATAAAGGTAATTTTATATAGTCCTGTGAAGTTTTGTTGAAATCGGTTGAAAAATGTAGGAAATCCGATCCAATATATAAACGTACAGACACACACACACAATCTGCGTTTTATAATAAGTAAGATATATATATATATATATATATATATATATATATATATATATATGACTAAAAGACGAGGGGAAAAAATATTCTTAGCCACCACGTTTCATCCTCTGAAGGACTTTATTAAGGCAAATGTAAATTATTGCATGTGTTTATATATAATAGCAAGGATGTCATTGGTTCATCAAGACTTTGCTGTACATCTTCAAAAATTTAAGGTAATGGATTTAACTGTTTTCTTTTGATTTTTCAACATTTTTGTGGTTGTGTATGTTGGCTTTGGAAAGTAGGAATTCTTTCAGGAAAGGAGAGATTGGAAAGAATTTTTGAAGATGTACAGCACATACATCCCTCTCAAACTATAACAATCTGATCACAATTTAAACAATATTCATTTATTTTAAAAAACAGTCTGTCTGTGGATGACTATATATATATATATATATATATATATATATATATAGTGGACTCTCCTGTCGTATTTGATGCATGAGGGTCAAGCAGCTCAGTTCCTAGAAAGTGACAACCTAGACACCAGCACACATACACATATATGAATAAAAAGACGAGAGGAAAAACTATTCTTAACGAATGTGTTTTGTACTCTGAAGGACTTTATCAAGGCAAATGTAGGATTTATTTTGTTGCATGTGTTTATATACAAGAGCAAGAATGTCATTGGTTTATCAAGGCTTTTAAATTTGAGAACGTTCATGAATATTGATTAGGTGGTTGAAAGGTCAGTCAAAATATGCGGAGGACACAAAGTGCCATAATTCAAAGTCTGTTAAGACAAAGGTGTGTGAGTAATGGTCAAGAAACATTTTTTTTAATAAATGAATATTGTTTAAATTGTGATCAGATTTTTATGGTTTGGGATGGACGTTTTTGTTGTACATCTTCAAAAACATAAGCTAATGGATTTAACCATTTGCTTTTGATTCTTGTGGTCATGTCAGCTAAGAATAGCTTTTTCTCTTATCTTTTTATTCATTTTGTTCCTTTACAGATACACTATCTGAAAATAATGTGTGTATGGCAGAAATATCGCCCAGAAATAGCTCCCACATAATGATAACACATTACCTAGATGAAGAGACCATTGCCATTAATGTCTTCCTGTTATGTGGGAGGTATTTCTGTCACACTACACACAGATACATGAATAAATACACACCTATACACACATATATAATGGACTCTCCCATCAATTTCAACGTATGAGGATCTGACAACTTAACCAATTGATTCAGTTATGAATTTTTTACGATAATATTAAATGGCACTTAAGACCCACTAGTGATCTGCAAAGGAGTCCACATATGGAGCAAGAGTGAGGATTGTGGGATGGGGTCACTTTTAGATTAGCTGACCTTTCAGATCTTGCTCTTGCTTCTTGAAGATGATTCAGACTATCAGATTGAAAACAGCTGAGTCCACTAAAATACATACATACACTAAAAGTTTGAGGCCATTCTTTTAATAATTAATAAGTTTCATACCTTTTTCAGTTTAATTAACCCCTATGAAACTTGGATGGTGAAACTATTCAGTCCATTAATCTTTGGCACACAATATTCTAAAAACGAATAGATTACAAAAAAAATTACATATAAATTAATTAAAACAGACAATAAGAATATATATATATTTGATACAAAATATATTTCTAAGGTATGCTATATATATGGTAAAAATATACTATCAGTATAGGTATATTTACAGATAAAACTGATAAAGTGATCAATATTAGAGAGAGAGTGTGTGTAAATATAGAATTAGACATGACATTAAGGTCAACACCAAGCAATGACAGTCTGTTTTATGCCTGAATGCAATCCTCAGAAAAATGAATTTTATACCAAAAACAAATAGATAAAAAAATGAATTAGGAATACCTATATATATATATGATTAATAACTTCATTGAATTATAATTCCAATCAAATCTAAGTTTTAGTTGATCTATTAAGTACAGTCCTCAGTGTCTTACAGTGCTATATATATATATATATATATATATATATATATATATATATATATACACACACACACACACACACATACATACATACATAGTCAGAAAAATTTCAAAGAAAAAACTTACATTTGAATTTTGCAGATATAGACTTAAATTTATTTCTCAGTTGGTTTACACTGCCTCTTCAGACTGGTTTAAATGCACCAAACGCACAAAATAAATTGATTTTAAAAAATATAAAGACAGACAGGAAGGAAAGAAAAGAAAATTTTGTGGGGTGGGGGAATAAATAACTGGGATATATATATATATATATATATATATATATATATATTTGAACAATAAAAAATATTAAAATCTTCAGACACACTGGGTTGTAGATTAATATTCTTTTGTTTTTTTTATCATTATTTCATTTAGATTCCTCTCTCTCTCTCTCTCTATATATATATATATATAAAAAATCAATCCTTTTATGCCTGTTCTGTAAAATATGACAGACAATTTTTTTTTCTTGAACAAAAAAAAACTATTCCTTGTTCATCATATTTAACATACATACATACACACACACACCTCTCTCTCTCTCTCTCTCTCTCTCTCTATATATATATATATATATATATATATATATATACATACAAATATATTGTTAAATTTTTTATGTTTATACATTATTTTTATAGATACAAATATTTAAGTAAATGCTCTGTTTATAATAAACAGTATTAAATGTTTACTGGCTTGAATGTCCAAGAAATTTTCATAGAAAATATGCATCCTCCGACAGGATTCGAACCTGTATCCTATATGGAACCGTCATATAGCCTGACATGCTTTAACCGTTTGGAACACAGAGGAGCATTCAGTTAGCAAGGTCGATTTTCCTGTTTTTAATCATGGAGAATTGTGTTAAAAAAATAGTAAAATCAACCTTGCTAACCAAAATGCTCCTCCGTGGATCAATTGGTAAAAGCATGTCAGGCTATATGACAGTTCTGTATACAGGTTCGATTCCTTATTGGAAAAGCAAGCCAGCTAATTTTACCTCATTTATAGGAGAGTACCTGATGCACCAGTTGGGGTGGTCCATTTTGCTAAAATGGACCTGTCCAACACATTTGCATAAGTGGTCTCTATTCACCCATATATCTCTCCATTAAATGACTCACGTTAGTTTAACTTTGTGGCTACACCAGTCTACTTGTGTGTCAGACCACTTGCAAGCTAACCAATATTCCACACACACACACGTTTTGCAGATCACAGTGAGGCATGAAACTGACAGTCTCCATGCAGTGTTGCTTCTTATATATAACAGGTATCAATAATTATGAGTTGACAGTGTATAATGTTCAATACAAGTAATTAACGTGTGTCTGTGAATTAAGCCAGGTAACAAGGTTAAAAATATTTTTGCATAAAATATTTTTCATTTATCTTTTCATTTTAAGATTGTGAACATATTGATATACATAAGGCATAAAGTGGCTTAGCAGTAAAAA